TTTTACATGGCAGTGTAAAATATGTATGTTCTCTAAATCTAAGTGAAATTCTGTGTATATATACAGAAAATATATATTATCATATGTGCATATAATATAGAAGAGGTCAGCAGCATCATCACACCCCGGCTACACAGCCTCATATCGGGACCAGAGGGGTGTTAGAACCTGAAGGAAACCTCCCCCCACTGTCTTATCTCTGTGTGGATCCAGAACAGGGAAGGAAAGTCTCCTGTAACCTGCGCTAAACTCGTACCGCTGGACATCTGTGTAGGTCTCGGGATGGGAGCTGACGGTTCACAGAGTTGGGACGTGTCCTGTCAAAGGCGCAGACGAAAATCACGGGGTGTTGTTGTTTAGTCAGTACAACTGAAGAATCAAAAGAGAAAAGACGGACCAGGGTGGAAAAGGGCGACATCCTCCACAAAAGAAAAGTTTTTTTCAGAGAAAACAGCAGTGTCTTTTGGCCCCATTTTAGTTTTGTAGCTCTGTATCACTGATCGCAGGACAATGCCACATTTCTGTGTGTTTGCTCCTGAAAGCTCACTGCCTGTATCTGAATCAGTTCATCAGTGTTGTCGGATTGGACTGCGTTAGTTTGACCTAGATGTACCAAACTGTCAACTCACTGAATGTAAGTGACCAGAAGAACCGCAGCCCATGTAACATCACTACTACTAATACTCTGTACTACCACAAACCACCAGTGCTGGAAGACGTAGTTTCAGTTTCTCCAAGTAAAAGATGCAAAAACACACTGGAAAAAAAATCAGTGTAGCTTATTACAAGTAAGTTCTGTGGTCAGATTTGTACTTAAAATTCAGCAAGTGTAGTAAAACGTTCTCAAAATAAAAGTATTTGGTTATGTTGACTTGTGTCTGCAGATTTTCAAAATTTAGACTTGGCTGAAAAAGGACAGGAACAATTTAAATACATTAATATTGGATGAATTTATCCCTTGTCTTTAATGTGAAACCTTAGTCTGTAAAGTACATTGTTGTTGCAATAGCCAGTGAGTAGCAGGTATTTATTAATTGTTGGACAATTAACACTGCTTAATCACCTGCTGCTGTTTTTAAGGCAAAATTAAAAGCTTGAAAATACAACAGTGCCTCTATCCACTTTCTTTACCCAGAGTAATCTGGTAGATTACAAAGTGCAATAGTTCCCTATATCTCATATCAGTGCCCTTGTTAGAGCTGATGATCGGATGGGAGAAGAGCTGTCCACACAGAATAAAAGCATAAATGAGAACATTAATATTTAAGGCTTGGAATATAAAGTGAGTGAGTATGTGTGTGGAGAAGCTAAAGGAATCCAAATCAACAACAAAACAAAGATGGCTCATTATTTTTAAAAAATGCATGTAGGCCTACACCTCACATACCTTTATACTTGTGAAAGATTTACATGTATTTCAAAATACACAGGAGTTTTTCAGTACAATGTAAAATGCTCATTTTCAGCTATAGTAAAGGCATAGGTGACTTACCTGAGCTTGACATGCGAGTCGCAGAGCTCTCTCCGTTTAAACTTTAAAGACACTAAATGACCTTAAAGAGTAGCAGCACAATCTAAATGACCACAAAGAAACAAATCTTTGCCATAGAAAAGAGAATAAAGGCCTATAGTAGTGCCTCAATAGAAAACATTGGGGCCAAAAGTCTGAACTAGTTCTCTGTCAAAGTGGAAGAAGAGCAAATATACAGTGCCTTGCGAAAGTATTTGGCCCCTTTGAACTTTGCGACCTTTTGCCACATTTCAGGCTTCAAACATAAAGATATAAAACTGTAATTTTTTGTGAAGAATCAACAACAAGTGGGACACAATCATGAAGTGGAACGAAATTTATTGGATATTTCAAACTTTTTTAACAAATAAAAAACTGAAAAATTGGGTGTGCAAAATTATTCAGCCCCTTTATGAAAGCTTTAAGGGGGTCTGAATACTTTCCGCACCCACTGTGTGTGTGTTTGTGTATTATACACACAATGGGTTTTCAACCAGTGGTCTATGAAGGTATTGCAGGTGGTCCCTGACAATGCAATCAATAATGTAGTTTCAATGCAGGAATCACTATCTATATCTTTAAAACATATTTCTGTATATTATTTGTGGTTGGTGAATAATCCAATTCATACAAATATATACAAGCTAGAAAAGCCAAGGTGTCACCTAAAGTGGTGCCCAGTCTGACTGTCCACCCCACGACAGTGGTCCTCGGGTTGCTACTTAGTCAGAATGGTGATCCCTGGATCACAGATAGTTAAACTCCTGAGGTAGAACATTTGGATACCTGCATGTTTTGTGTGATTAATTATAATGAATCTTTAGTTTCTTGTTTTCTTTTTTCATTAAAACATATTTCAGTGACTTTCTTCTATATTAGATGCACGTATAATAATGTATATTTTCAGTTTTTGTTTTTCTTAAAAAATGTGCCAAAATGTCAGTATGAGAATAGCAAGTAATGAATATTTTGACTGTTTTATCAAATTATTTAGCCTGTAGAATGAAGAAATAAGGGCAACCATCCATCTTAGGTGGTCAGAAGTGATTTTAATTTTTCTTAATGGTTACTGTACCTGGTCAATCTGAAGCCATCAGTTTGGGCTCTGCTAATCAGCGCATTTGTCATTTATTTAGACTTAGTGATTAATCAGTTAATTGAAAACAGTGTCCAGTAAACTACCTGATTATTATGTCAGTTATTAACTGTCAAATCAAATCATTTTAGCAGTAGAAAGTAGTGTACCTCTTAATAGTCAATACAGACATATATTCCAATATGATAAAGTTTCAAAGAAAATGTAACCATTTCCACAGAGTTGTGGCACACATAGTTGTAGAACACCATAACCACTGTACTGTCCAGGTACTACTGTATTTCGACCATATGAGCCCCACACCAGTAGTAGACATTAGAGATTTCATGAGATTTCATCCAGCTTCTGTTAAAAAGCTTACTACTGCCCCCAGAGCATGTGTTCTACCCACCAGCAGCTGTAAAGAGACAGGAGACACCCAGGAATCATAGTCCTTCAGTCTTTAAAGAGTCTGAATTCTCTCTTAAAGGGAGTGTTTTAACAGCCTGTGATGTTTGGACTGGGAACACTGTACAGCTACACCCCCAGCCTGTCTGCTCTGCCTCTGCTTACTTTTCATCACTGGGACACAGAAGGCGTTTACATGTTTTAACAGACTCAGTGTTACCTTTCCGCTAACATAGTGTGTTGGACACATGAAGCTTCTGGGGGCACTTGGTTATTACAGTAAAGGGGATTTCCAGGTTTCTGGAGGAGAGTTAGTGAAATGTGGCCGGTAATGGAGACAGAGAGGTTGGAGGTGAAGGTGTGGTGCTCTCAGCAGAGTCAGCATCTGTGGGAAAGTTTTCTTGAAGGGACTAAAAAATGGCAAACACATACATATCAACAAAAATTCTATTTTTGTTAGTTTTATATACAAAGTGCTTCATAACAGACATAAAACCAACAGGGCAATAATATATAATTTAACAAATGAAATTGAAACAAATGCAGTAAAAGTATAGAATCTAAACAACTGAAGAAAATACAAGTATGTATTTTGGGAGAGATTTAAATAAATGATCAAAAAGTATTGAAAACAAAGTTTGTAACCAAAGATGACTTAGCGTGATGTTTTTGTTGTTCCAGAGAAAATGTATTGCCAAAGAAAATGGGTCACTAATGAATACAAAATGACCTGTATTTTATACACATTTTCTTTTCATAATAAGAATGGTAGTGGCAGTAAAGGTCAGGGGTTTTGTTATGTTGGGGATATTTTTCATATTTGCATTTTAGGAAATTTGAAATTCAGTATTTACAAAGTTTGAGTTGAAGTAATGCTTAATTACAAAATAATTACATCAATCAGTTTATCAATTTCTGAACAATTTCTGTTCAAAAATTAAATCTTCAATTGAAGTAGAATTTTGGAGGCGGTAGCTGTGCTTTTAGTGACTTTCTTTTTGATATACATTGAAGGATACGTTTTTAAAATTCACATTGCAATATACAAAAAATGTGTGATCACATTATAATTTTTGTTCTGTTTAGTTCTGCCCTCTTACCAAAATGCAGTTTAGGATATAATGTAACATGTTAGCTTCATCAGAGAGATGCAGCGGGAAGCAGTGACCCTACATGATGCCATAGCTCAGCCCTGCTCTATTGATCATGGCCTCAGTTGGCCAGCATGTCACTGCTGTCTCCCCCCTGCTGTGCTGCTTTATGTAACGTTAGTCCCCTCCCTTGTGCATTTTAGTCTGTTGTCTTAGATTGTGTATACTGTCGTTGTCAGTGTGTGTAACTATATTTCAGTACTGAAATTGTGATGTTTCATTATATTATTTCATATTTCATATTATGTATATCACCCTTAAGCTCCCCGTCATGCGTCATCAAAAACTGAACCCCCTCCGAAGGGTAGTGTCTATTACAGGGCAATGTTGTGTTGTTTCATGTGGCATAAGTGTTGTTTTTGTCAAACCCTGAACAGGTTGAGCATGAATTCAGGACGTATGAAAAGGATGCTTTACAAAACTTATACAAAACAATTTTACGGCCAGTGGAAAATGAAGAAATATAGATCACTGTGTTGCCAAGTATTGTGTCCACTTGTTTGTGTTTAGTTTGTGGAAACATTTGCTTGTCGCTGGGTGCGCAAATGCTGTTGAGTAGAGGTGTGTGTTTGTTTGCAGTGTGATATTGTGTGCCAATCACACGTGTGACAGCCAGGCTCCAGAGGAAGACAATTAACAACAGAGGAGAGGGAAGAATAATGAGCAGTGAGGAGAAGAAAAGAAGCCGTGAGTCAATGCTGCTGTCATTTAGATGAGTCAGAGCTTTGCTCAGTGGCATCACTGTGACTACAATGGTGCTAGTCGCACTACAACTCAGCAAAGACCATGAGATAGTTTTTATGCATGCGCACACACACTCACATTGTTCTTTTATTCTGTTTTCCCCTCCACCCAGATGTCCACTCGGCACGGCCCCAGATGGCCTGGATACCTTGCCTTTAGTGAAGAGGTGCTTTTGACTCACACATACACAAAGCAGCATGATCGTGTTTTTCTCCCTCTCAGAGGGAAGATTAACTCTCCTCATTAGTGCTCCCCTGCCTATCGTCCTTCTCTCTACTCCCCCTCCCTCTCCTGTCGGCCTGCCTCGCTGTCATTGGCTGCTTCTATCAGGACCACCGCTGACTGGATCGCTGTGACTACAGGACACAGGAGAGCAGGGAGGAGGCGGTATGGGTTGATGTTGCCATGGTAATAGAGGAGGCGACCACTCACCACATCTATGAGCCAGAACTGGAATGGGGAAAAAAAATCTAGTGCAGGGGTGTAGAAGGCGGGTTAGAGGGTTAGGGACTGAGAAGAGTGAAAAACGATAACAGCGAGGGATTAGGCATCAACCGAGCAATCAGGAAGTCCGTTTAGGACAAAGCAGCGTTAAAAATCCTCCCAGACATCAATTGTGATCGTCAGAGCTGAGCTGCCAATCTGATTGGACAGCTGCTCAAGATTAGGAAGGAAAAAAGAAATGGGAGCAGACAAAGGAAGGCTGAAATAAAGCAGGTGAAAATGAAAAGCTTCTGGAGAATATCTGCCCTTTGCTGTCGTGATACTTCACTCCTGGCAATGAGTGAGAGGAGGTAAAGTGGCCGGAGCAATGCCTGGAGCACAGAAATAGAAACAGAGAGGGGCATCGCTGGATACGAAGAGCATGCATCAGCACTAAGGCAGGGTGAAGAAGAGCAGTCAGAGCAAGAGACAGTGACAGCAGAGATGAGTGAGGCAGAGCAGGAGAGAGGTTGAAGGGAGAGGTCATTACCATGGTGTGAAATGGGATGATAGAAATAGCGCCTGCTGCATTTGTCATCTCTTCTGCCACCTCGGCAGCATCAACAGTCCACCCTGACTGCAGTGGCTCCACTGAAGACCCACAGAAAGGACTTCATTGTCTTGAGGAAAAATAACCATCAATGAATTGGGATTTTGACCCATTTTGATGCTCCCTGATGATTCAAACAGCTGACTTTGAAAGGACAAAGCAGATTGATTATTTTTTCTCCTAAAGCATAAGCATCCTTGTGTGCACACAGTAACGCAAAAATACTGACTGTGTTCACTGGTCATTGCACAGCCCTGTTGTCTCTGTGTAAAAATTTGAAATTCATTGTTCGACACTTTTCAACGAATGCTGACACAACCTAAATGAGGACAACTGTGAAGGTGGGAGTATTGGAGACACTATAGTCAGCTGAATGATTAGAGATATTGTGCCAAGATATCTGAAATAGGCGCCGTACTGGGAATGGCACGCAGAATACTGTATTTGACTTCCTAATGGCACCTCAGACCTCAAAGCGGGCTGACTGACTGACTTACTAAGTGTTCGGGTTACTCACTGACTGGAGCTGTGGCTATCTGAGGACTTTGTAGACACCTACATAGCCCTGGGCAGGTGTTGGCTGGGTGTTGGAGCCCCACCATGGGGGAAACAGCAGAGTACCAGAGGCTGCAGGAGACATCAGAGCCTGACTACCAGTGCTTACCCAGCGATGATGAAGAGGTAGACTTGTACAGTTCCCTTGATTATATAGTAGTGGATTAACAGTGAGCGGAAACCTCAGGTGTTATGATCCTGTTCCCAAGGTTGGCATGTTTCTCATTGTGCAGAAATGAATTGTAGATATGAAGGATAATGGCTTTTGTTTGATCATTTCTATAATGTATCTGCTGTCTCAGCAACATGAGCTACTATGCTGCATGCAGATGTACAAAATTTGCATGTGTTTGTGTCATTACTCATAAAAGAAAAGAACACTGGTTAATATTCACAAGCAGCTGCTTTCACTTTTACTCCTCAGTCAGGGTCAGGGATTTTGATGATATTTTAGTCTGTTTTTAAGGACAGTTGAAATGGTTCATCATGTGACCTAGATGCAGTATTTTTTTTTTCTTAAAAACTGGTCATGGTAGGTTTTGACATTTTGATGGAAGACATTATACAGTATTGTTCAAAATAATAGCAGTACAATGTGACTAACCAGAATAATCCAGGTTTTTAGTATTTTTTATTGCTACATGGCAAACAAGTTACCAGTAGGTGCAGTAGATTCTCAGAAAGCAAACAAGACCCAGCATTCATGATATGCACGCTCTTAAGGCTGTGCAATTGGGCAATTAGTTGAAAGGGGTGTGTTCAAAAAAATAGCAGTGTCTGCCGTTGACTGTACAAACACAAAACTATGTTGTACAAACATTTTTGTTTCTAGGATTTAGCAATCCTGTGAATCACTAAACTAATATTTAGTTGTATGACCACAGTTTTTGGAGTCAACCAACCTGGTAACTTGTTTGCCATGTAGCAATAAAAAATATACTAAAAACCTGGATTATTCTGGTTAGTCACATTGTACTGCTATTATTTTGAACAATACTGTATAATGTCACAGTAGAGGACAGGTGTAAATTAAGTTTAAAAAATTAATGATGGCCATTCCATTTAGCTGTTCACTTTCAAGGTCTTGTTGCTGTGCACAGTGGCTGTCACACAGTCATGGTTTACTGGGAAACTTGAACAGAACAGAGCCATTGTAAATGTTCGTAGGAGTATCTCTGCTTTTAAAATCCATGACTAGTCAAAAACATGAGAAAGCAGAGATTGCTCCAAGTGCCCATTCATCTGTCACACAGAACCAACTCTTTTACACTTGTACGTCACTGGCACCCTCCTCGACCAACACGTACCCACGCACGGCAAACACAGCATTTCTCACCCACTTACTGACTACTGAACTATGGAGTTATTGATGGAATTGCTGCTGAATGAACGCAGTGCAAACCTTGTAATGTCCTGACAGGCCGAGCTGTTCTTTTGGTTTGGAAATGTGGCAGAGAGGGGGATGACGTACCAAAAAGTTCCCAGTTGGATTCAAACTTTACACATCTGTCCACATTAGGAGATTGTGTATCCTCTCTTTTTCCTTGTTTGATTAAATTTGTTGCTGTTGTCAATACTAGAAGATTGTCTTCAGAATAATGGAAAAAAGAGCTAGGGCCCTAAATCAGCCAGGCTGATAGTTCTTCCAATATCAGATCATCCTTTTAATTGGTAACAAGAAATTGCAAAAATGCCAAGCTATGCATGAGGTAATTTTGAAAAGGAATCACCAATGCATAGTTTAACTGACCTTAATTTTTCAGCTGTAAAATGTTCAATGTGTATCTCTATCACTATTTAAAATAAAAAAAGAAAACGGGTATCAATATCAGCCAAAAAAAAGCCCTCCATGACTGTACCAAGGATAAATGGGTATAGAAGATACTATGGTTGAATGAATGTGTTGATCTGTGCACCACTTTGTGTCATGAATGTTGACTGTGTATGTTTAGAGTCTGTATGCTAGTTTAGCCAGTGGGCACTGCAGCTGTCCTGGTTGCCGACTGCAGAATCAAATCAGTCTCTTTCTTCATTTGCAGCACTGTGCTGAATGCAGCAGTTTTCTAGTCTTACACACACTGCATACGGCCACCTCATCTCCATCAGAAACTCAGAGAAGGAGATAAATGGTCCATGGCAGTAACAGAGAGATGAAGGAAGAGTCAGCCTTAGTTCGGAGACAAACTTTTGCCCTATTAAGCAAGAGGAGACGTGAGCTAGTCTGGCAGCTGTAATTCAGCCACTACCCCTGAAAATACTTGGTTTAGTACAGCTCTGTGTAGTTGAGTATCTGCTGTTTTTTATATATATATATAAAACAGTAGATATGAGAATAATAAACATTCTTATTTACCAAACATTTATCCTTTTCCAACATTGGACCGACATTTTTCATTAACACCCTCCTTTCCCCTCCTTTAACCAGCTTTAGGGGATCAAAGCGGGGATGGCTTAGGATGGGTGTATTTCCATGATGTTATGGCAAACATCCGAAAGCTTGTTGACAAAAGGCACCACATATGCCCTGTGTTGGCCTGGAAACAGCTTGTTTGTACCCAGAGCTCCTTTCATTCCCGCTGTCAGTCCTTCCCCATTGTGACGCCCACCACCACACGACGCCTCTCCTCTCTTGCCTCTGTGATGAGGTGCTGTGGACAGTGAAGGGATTTCAGGAGAACATAAAAGCCAGACTTTGCCGGAGGGTTTCTATCGTGAGATCAGGAATGACGCATCTCTGTCTATGCGTGCAGGCCTCCATGAGCAGCATCGTGTGTGTGTGTGTGTGTGTGTGTGGGTGTATATGAATGTTTTGTTTGCAGAGTTGTAAGAGCGATTAATCCTGTTTACTCCACTACTCCTTCAGTTTGCTCTGCCAGTTTTTGGTACCCGACACCAAACTGCAGGTTCATGTTTTGCCCCCAAAAGGTTGTGACTTATTTTAGAAATGCACTAGCAGTATGTCCACCCATACCCACTAAGCTGTCTTAATTCCCAGCACTGTAAGTCAGTGTGAATCCAGCTGATGTGAGCTCATGCTCCTGCATGCCTGTGTCTGTGTACAGTGAGCATCATGTTACAGAATCAAGCTTAATGTGTGTGTTCCTGTACTCAGACAAATGAAGACCTCCCACACTTTGGTCTTCATGGACCTATTATCCAGCAAGTCTTTAATTTGATGTCAGTTCTTGATAATACAGTCTACACAGTCACGGGCTTTACAGTACTAGCATCTTTTCATATTCCAGTTGTACAGCCAGTTACTACATTGTGTGTATGTGTGCACAAGAAAGGAGGAGGGAGATGAAAGGCAGACAGCAGCAGTGGAACAGGCCCGCACTGGCTGCTTCATGGTCAGTGTGAGGCTCCAAGCAGAGAGTCACACAAGAAGGTGTAATTCAAGAGTTTTATTTACCCAAATTTCAATGTTTGTGAGAAACAACACACTTTAAGTTGAATATGAGCTGAGATGCAAATCAGAAATTGAGCTACATGCATGAACAGTGAGTGCATTTACATGCACATTACTATTCCAGTTTTGAGCCTTAGCCTAGTTTTGATCACACTGAGTATATGATGTTTACATGGAACATGAGAAACCTGGCTTTCATGTGTCTGTATACAATATCCAGGGTTTGGTTACCTGCCTTCAGGTATATCTTGGTGCTTGAATGTTTCAGCCACTTATTCCTACACTGACTGAGTAACCTTGACAAAATGAACACTTTGGTTTCTGATGGTTTGAATTTTGTTAGCGAGTGGCATGGTGGAGTGGTAGTTAACACTGTCGTCTTGCAGCAAGAAGGTTCTACGGTTGAGCCCCAACCAACTTGTTGTCTTTCTGTGTGGGGTTTGAAAGTTCTCCCTGTGCCTGTGTGGGTTCTCTCTGGCTACTCCGGCTTCCTCCCACAGCCCAACGACATGCAGCTTAGGTTGATTGGTGACTCTAAATTGCCCACAGGAGTGAGTGTGAGTGTGTGTGATTGGTTGTCTACATACAGTGAGGAACAGAAGTATTTGAACACCCTGCGATTTTGCACGTTTTCCCACTTAGAAATCATGGAGGGGTCTGAAATTCACATTGTAGGTGCATTCCCACTCTGAGAGACAGAATTAAAAAAAAAATTCAGGAAATCACATTGTATGATTTTTAAAGAATTTATTTGTCTTGCACTGCTGAACATAAGTATTTGAACACCTGAGAAACAGCAAGAATTCTGGCTCTCAAAGACCTGTTACTGTGCCTTGAAAAAGTCCACCTCTACTCCACTCATTAATCTAAACTAGTAGCACCTGTCTGAGCTCTTTAAAGACACCTGTCCACCCCACAGTCAGTCAGACGCCAACTACTACCATGGGCAAGACCAAAGAGCTGTCAAAAGAAAACCAGAGACAAAATTGTGGACCTCCACAAGGCTGGAAAGGGCTACGGGGCAATTGCCAAGCAGCTTGGTGAAAATAAATCACCTGTTGGAGCAATTGTTAGAAAATGAAAGAGGCTAAAGACGACTGTCAGTCTCCCTCGGACTGGGGCGCCATGCAAGATCTCACCTCGTGGGGTATCACTGATGATAAGAAAGGTAAGGAATGACATGAAGAGAGCTGGGACCACAGTTTCAGAGGTCACTGTCGGTAGAACACTACGCCGTCATGGTTTCAAATCATGCATTGCCCGGAAGGTTCCCCTGCTCAAGTCATCACATGTCCAGGCCCGTCTGAAGTTTGCCAAAGACCATCTGGATGATCCAGAGGAGGCATGGGAGAAAGTCATGTGGTCAGATGAGACCAAAGTAGAACTTTTTGGTCTAAACTTCACTCGTCGTGTTTGGAGGAAAAAGAAGGATGAGTTGCATCCCAAGAACACCATCCCTACTGTGAAGCAGGGGGGTGGTAACATCATGCTTTGGGGGTGCTTTTCTGCAAAGGGGACAGGACGTCTGCACTGTATTAAGGAGAGGATGAATGGGGCCATTTATTGTGAGATTTTGAGCAACAACCTCCTTCCCTCAATTCTGTCTCTCAGAGTGGGAATGCACCTACAATGTGAATTTCAGACCCCTCCATGATTTCTAAGTGGGAGAACTTGCAAAATTGCAGGGTGTTCAAATACTTCTGTTCCTCACTGTATC